AGATAGATAGATAGATAGATAGATAGATAGATAGATAGATAGATAGACAGAGATGATAAAGATAGAGATGGAGGGAGGGAGGGAAGAAGGGAGGGGGAGGGAGAGAGACAGAGACAGAGAAAGGGAGAGGGAGATCAGGGAGTCTCTTCTGTAGACAGAATATGGTGAAACAGATTGGGTCCAAGCTGGCAAAGGAGTGAAACAAAGCTTCTGTCCCCTTCTTTAGGTATTGAAGGAGGTGCCCATTGGCCTATGAGCACCTAAGAAATTTAACCTTGATCGTTGCAAACTCTAAAATAACTGATTCAAATATAAATTTACTAGTACAAGTGGAACATTTTTACCATTGTATATATAATACCTGGATTCAGAAACCAGATTAGAATTGACAATGAGGTTCCAACCATTACAGTATAAAATATTGTACTAAAGTATATTAACTACATTAAACTTACAATATTCATGAATGTTTCAGGGTTCCCTTCTGTCTTTGTTCTTGACAATTCTTTGGAATCGTTGAACTCCAGAACCAAAAGAGATATCACAAGAAACAAAAACATCTTCAGTATCTGTAAAATAGCAATGGAATTTATGGCATTATTGTACTTTTGCCAGGCAACTTTTAAAGGGTTAAGATTATAAACTGAAGCCAATGTGTTTTTGAGGTTGACAACAGTGTTTTTTTTAAAAAAGTAAGTGAATACCTTATGTTACTATGCAGCCCTGAGGGCTTCAATCAGTTGCCACATTTGTTGTTTCACACAACATATACCTTTCTGCTTAGTCAAACATTATACAACAGTATTTAATTCATTTGTTCATTTAATCTTTATAGTCCATATAACCCTGAAATCATTTTCATTCAGACAAATTAAAATAATGCTATGATAAAAAGATGCATTACTGTATTGTATTCAGTAAAAATATGCAATATCTTCATATCATACAATCTCATAAACATATCGGAAACCATTTCTTTTTAAAAAATAATAAATGAAAACAGTGCAACCATTATTTGGAAGCTTATAGCAAAAGAAAGAAACATTTGTAATTAGGTGACAAAATAGATAAAATACAAGATTACAAAAGCTAAGCAGAAGAGAGTGTCTATATTCAAGGAACCAAGGACCTGGCTGGGCAGGCAATTCTGATTAAAACTCAAGAGTCTGGAGGGAGTAGAATTTTGGTGTAAAACAACATGTGTCTTTGTCTGAGCTCTTATAAATGAAACGAATATTCTTTGTGGGGAAGAACAATCTTGTGAACACTCTGGCTATTCACACATTCCTCTTTGCTGCTTAGGATTGAAGAACATCGAATGATATTAAATGCTGTTGTTATGTTCTCAGCATATAAGGGACTTTGACATACAACGGAAACCCTTCATGCCTGCATGAAAACAATAAAACTAATTTAAAACACACATCCTTAATATGACTAAAAACACTGTGAAAGAAATTCTTACCATTCACTCCAAGGCTCTGCTGTGTATGAGATGTTTCAGTTTACAAAGGGTGGAGATATCTGTAGGTACTGCACCTTGAAAGATATTGAAATTAACATCATAAGATTTCCTGTTGCACCACAGTCCAGACTCTTCCAATTACCGTAACATTTATTTGTTTAGAGCAAGACAGAAATATATTCTTCCCTTCTGCATTTTTTAAAAACCTCACACTTCCTTTATATTCCAAATATTTGTTTTTTAAACATAAATAACCAACACAGGTCCTGTATAAATAAGTGGAGATGGCATGCGCAGTGAAAAATTTGAGACTCTCACCCAAAAATATCAACGAAATAATATGAAAAAGTCTCCGATGACTATGAGGCCAAGACCAATGTGTATAAACAAAGCAATGTCCTGAACAAATCCATAATGCAAGCATTGCTGGATATGCTGTCTTTTACTTTGCAACATAGATAGAAAGAGAGTTATACCCACATAACACTGGTGCTTTTAATAGATGTGTTTACTTTGAGAACTACTTCTAATACCTCATTTGGTTTTTGATGCCCCTCATCAAAAAGACACAGTTGTCTGGGGGTGTAGCATAAATGCCAAATTATAGTTAAGACCATGTTTGGGCCTGGAGGAATGAACAGGTTTAGTTTGGATTCTTGAAGCCTAGCTGGACAAGAAGTGTGTATGCTTACTTAGGAAATTCATCCTGTAGGATTTATTTATTTATTTATTTTGATTTGTCAATCGCTTACAAAATAATAGGTATAAGTATCAACATGAGTAAGAGTACAGAAAATAGGTACAATTAAATGGGGATAATAGGACAGGGACGGGAGACACGATGGTGCACTTATGCACGCCTCTGTGTGCCTACTTAGGAAATTCATCCTGTAGGACTTCACTATAGTTATGACACTAAAGGCAAGGACAAGGAGTTGCAAGATCTTGGCTGTTACCAGAGTAAGTGCCTCTCCCTGAAGTAGGGATGCAGTTCGTTTTTCTTTAAAATTCATTTCTTCTTACTGGCCTCCTTTCCTTCCTTGGGACATTTCAGAGGTCACCCTAGACTTGCCTAGTGAATGCTCAACCATGCAGCCACTTTTTCCCTTCCTTCTTTCCTTCCTACTGTTAGGAGGAAAGAGCAAAATCAGAACTTAATTTAGTTGTCCTTGAAATCTAGAATGGATGTCTTTGAACATCTACTAGATCATGAATCAGGATGGTAATATGAATCAGTGATGAGTTCTCTGAGCAACTGTAGGGATCAATAAAGCCCTTAATAGCAAAGATAAGTGCAGAATAAACAACGGTTGTCTTATAAAATGGTTTGGATACTGAAAATATGGGAAGATAAAGTTGAAGTGCATGGGGCTGGATAACCTGGAAAATTATGGTTCTCTTCCAAAACCCAGCCTTTTCTAAACCAGATTAATTACCTCTCTAAAATTGCCTGGTTTTTATTTCTAGGGGAAAGAGGGTGCTAAAATTGTTAACATCATTTACTGTTTAGATATATCGATTTCCAAATACATCTTTGTTTATTTCTCTGCTATTACCTCCTCTGGAAGGCGTCCAGACCTCCACTTTCTTTCCTGCAATGGTGCTTTCTTTCTATGGTGCCATATTCTTTCTGCACCCAAAGCAGTCCTGTTGGGGCAAAAGTGGTAGCACACAAGCTGGTCCTATGGAGAAGATGATAGAAATACCATGAAAAAAACAGCTTTGTGAAAGAGAATACAGCACCCCCACCACAGGCCAGATTAACAGATTAACAGAGTTGGAAGGACCCTTGTAGGTCATCTCCGCCCAAGCAGGAGATCTTACACCAGGCAGCCTGTGCACACAGCAGCAGAATCGGACAGTGGCGAAGAAAGGGGATCAGTCCGGGAGTCTGGAGATGACTCACACAAGGATCCTGCATCCGATGCAGAGGTGGGGCCAGGATAATCTGGGAGTGGGGTGCTGCCTCCGGAGCCTCCAGAGTCTGGCAGCAGCGAGGCAGAGGACCCAGGGGAGCCTGTTCCCAGAGTGCATATGCACAGAGCTGCTAGAAGGCGAGAGCAACTGAAACAAAAGGGGCAACTCAGGAGTAAGGCTGGGAGGTGATCGCCCCTCCCATAAGGTATAAAAGACAGGCAAAGATGATGAAACCTTTGCAGGAAGCAAAGTCATTCGTTCGGTTCAAAGTCATTCCTGAAGCTCTTTGTACTTTGGTTGGTTTTTCTTTTTCTAGTTCATTTGACACTTCTGTTATTAGCAGCACTTCGCAGGAAAGAAAGGTGGGTGCTTATCTTGAGGGACTGTTTGAGATTCATTACCGTCTGGGAATGAAAATAATTCCCAGTGTTGCATTAAAATAAGACTTGTTTTTAAAATAAGAGTGTGTGTAATTACAGGCTCGGAAGCCTTGGTCAGAGCACAGTCCAATCTCTTCTTGAAAGCCTTCAGTGATGAAGCTCCCATAACTTTTGAAGGCAAGCTGTTCCATTGGTTGGTTGTTGATTGCCAGCACTGAGAGAACGAATGAAGCAGCAACCTGGGAATTCTCAAAGGAGAAGATAATGGAGGGAATACCTATGAGTATAAAACCAGGGTAAAAGATAAACCAGAACAGCAGATATGAATTGGGGTGATCCCAGGGACACTGGAATATGTACAGGGAGTCCTTGATTTATTACTGGTTGCTTAGCAATCAAAGTTACAATGGATCCCCAAAATGATACGATTCCAAAAGTTCTGACAGTTGCCTGAGCCATTGTGGCACAGTGGTTAGAATGCAGTATTGCAGAATAATTCGGCCAACTGCCAGGAGTTCAATTCTAACCAGCTCAAGGTTGACTCAGCCTTCCATCCTTCTAAGGTCAGTATAATGAGGACCCAGATGGTTGGGGGCAATAGGCTGACTCTGTTAACTGTTTAGAGAGGGCTATAAAGGACTGCGAAGCGGTATATAAGTCTTAAGTGCTATTGCTATTGGCTTCCCACACACTCACACAGTCACATGGCCACATTTCAAGCACTCAGCAACCAGCCCACATTTATAGCCATCTATAGAGTCCTGTGGTTACATGATCAAAATTTATTTATTTTTTGGGCCAAAAAACAAACATTTAGTTCTGGTTTTCAGGGAAAGCACTATAGCAAAGAATGGATTAACTTAAAAACAGTCGCATTTGCTTAGCCATTACCACATTTGCTTAATAGCCACTGTCTTCACTTAACAATCACCACAAAAAAAAAACAGTGGTCTAAGGTCAGTCACGTGATGATCTACTTTGCAACCATTGCAACTTATGACCGTACTTGGCAGGATCCATTATGGTCAGAGTTGAGTTCTGCCTGTAGACAAAACTGAGAAAGCAGCATATATCAGACAGAACTGTGTTGATTGTAACAGCTATAGTAATCGAATCATACTTCACCCTCCCATCATTTTAGAATAGCAATAGCACTTAGACTTATATACCACTTCATAGTGCTTTACAGCGCTGTCCAAACAATGTACAGAGTCAACATATTTCCCCTGACAATTTTGGGTCCTCATTTTACCCACCTCGGAAGGATGGAAGGCTGAGTCAACCTTGAGCCTAGTTGGACTTGAACTGTCAAATTGCAGGCAGCCGACAGTCAGCAGAAATAGCCTGCAGTACTGCTCTCTAACTACTGAGGATCATGGTGGTTATGTCTTTAGAAAAATGGGATTCTCAGAGCATTACATTGACCCAGGGGTGTGATTCAACTGGTTTAACAACCGGTTTGGTGAGTGTGCACATGTGTGCCAAACGCACGCTTTGCACACACACAGACTATTTGCTACTGACCTTCTCCAGCAATCCCTGTGTGTTAAACAGCTGACGCGTGGCAATCCGCTATGCCACATGAATCAGCTGAGCTTGAAAAACAGGATATAAAGCACAACCTAGAGCACAACCGGGCAGGCAGGTGGGCCCAACAGTTGATTGTTGGAGCTAACCGAACCATTTCACTCCCAGCTGATCCTCGAAGACACCAGTTCGCCCGAACTGGGCGGAACTGGTAGAATCCCACCTCTGCATTGACCTCATGAGAAACCGACTATAGAGAGAGAGATCAGGA